CTATTAAATAGTAGGTTCATGATATAAGATCAGAAAAAGAACTCAGAGTTCATGGAAGAAATCTCTGTAAGTCCAAGAAGCCATTTATACAGTTACAATGCAACAATAATAGAATCATCCATTAGGATAAAATTTTTAAGACTAGTTATTTTTTAAAGAACCAGTTATGAAGAGGCCTGGCGAGGTATCAAAATGTCACTTAAACAGGCGCTATCTGTTTAGCGAGCTAAAGGGCTTCATTTTGTTATTTGTGAGTATGTGTATGTATGTATCTGTGTGTGTATATTGTACTTCATTTTTCCTTTACTAATGCATGATGAACATGTAGTACATATGGATCTACCTCATTCCTTTAAATAGATTATTTACCTATTAATATACTAAAAATATGAAGGGGATTCAGACAAAATATGTGAATAGATATTTCTCAAAGTAAGATGGAAAAGTGGCCAATAAGTACTCAAAAAGATGTTCCATTCCCAACCAAATTATACACCAAATGATGCAATTAATTTGCTGAGGCTCTTGCAAATTGTTGTTGTCAGAATAGCAAATAACTGTGTTTGGATACTTTACATGTGAGTAACAAACCTTAGCATACTTTGAACTTTCATTTTAGAGGGAACAGACCAACTTTTCTCTTAACTTTTGCCTTTTCCTGTTATAGATTATAGAGGTAGCAGTGATGTGTGAGATATGGGGCTGAGTTTCAAATACACACACTTTCCTGTTGATTTTGCAGTATGAAATTTTGCATAAAATTTACTCCTGTCATTAGCATCCTGGTTGTGAATGACCCACGTCCATGTGGTTCAGAGTTCAGGCTCTGGAAGAGGGGCCTCACTCAAATGAAAGAAAAGATAAGAAAGGATAATTTGGAAATATTGGGGGCCAGGCGGGAGCCCAACGCAAGAGGAAGGACTCTGCCTGGGCTTGGGCTTTGCCATCCTTTTATTCAATTTGGGACCCACCTATAGTCCTTAGGCAGGAAATTTCCAGTAACAAAGTATGTTATCAGTAAAGATTTATGTGACTGTCTGGGGAAGTGCTTCAGCTACCATTGTCTCAACTAAACAGTGGGTGCATAGCTCTGACCCTTGCCAGGGCTCGAGCGTCATCAGCATTCCAGGCTCCTTGTCCACACCTCTCTGCTAGTGAAGACAATAGACAGTTTCCCAGACTGGTAAAGTCATTGGTATTGCTCCTCTACTTTAATTTTGTGTGTCATTGTATAAAGTTCCTCATAAACGATTTACTTGTAGTTTCTTAGTTGATGTTGTCATTCGGTTATTTAGGATTCATTCAAAAGCCTATGTATTTAAGAAAAAACTAGGAAGAGTTGCAAATGCCCTATTTGCACTCTACAGTATAATGACTTATTTGCTTTATTTAACTTGAAATTAGAAATAAAAACTTGTGATGTTAGGAAAGGCTTGCCATCCACATTAAGATTTATTGCACAGAGAAAACCGTAATTGGGAGAGGCAATCCGCCTTGTGTCCTGAGCATCCCTGCACATTATAATTGGGTGTACCAAGAGGGAAGGCCTGGTCACTCTTCACAGGCAACAAGCAATGTCTTTTGTTGGACAATAAGCAGGCTTGCTTCTGCTTACTAAGAAAGCTGTGAATTGTCCAAATTCAGGGTTTTCCCCCTGCAATCCAATGCACTGCATGTATAGGCATCCATTGAGTCCTATGCCATCCCATGGGACTTATGGATCATGGATAACTGATACAAACTAGTGTCTTCTGACAGTATCCATTAACCACTAGCAGGTTAATCTATTAACTTTTAGGTAGGGTAAAATCTTAAACTGCACAGTTCTTGAAAGGTGTTTCCAGATATTTCCCCAAGTCAATTATGTTAAGGCAATGTTTCCCACCAGGATGATTTTTACCATAGCATTATATACTGTATGCTATTAATATTGTGTTCTACTTCATTATTGTCTTCAAATAGACTCATTTGATTTGAATACTTTTCTGAAAAGGAAGATTTACAATACCAGACTATATCTTAAACTATAATCATCATTTGCCTTAGACAGAGTGTTTATTAATGCACAGTCAAATAAATACAAGATGACAATTTAAAATATTTGTATACTATCTAAAATCATCTCCACCTACCAACAGGTCCTCTATGTTAATCCCAAGTTAGCTGATTGTATCAGAACTGGACAGACTATCACAACCAAAGTTTTTAGTTAAGGAATTTTGAGGTCTTATCTCTTTTCCTATAAAAAGTTCTCATCAAGCCCCTCCGTGAAGGAAAAAAAAAGGGGGAGGAGGGAGGAAGTCTAGTGCTCTGACCTGCAATGGGGACAGTCATCATGCTCCAGCTAAGTATGCCCAGGTCTGCCTGGCCATCAGCCTAGGAGGGCCTGGTGCCTGCTGCAGGCTGGAGCAGAAAAGCCAAAGCCAGACACCCCGGAGGTGAGTGTGCTTGGGGTGAGTCCTTCTAATCCTCAGAGCACCAGGGAATGGACTCATCCTGTCTGTAAAGCTGCCGCCAGTGAGCTGAAACCGGTTTGGCTCAGTGGATAGAGCGTCAGCCTGCCAGCCTGCAGACTCAAGGGTCTCAGGTTTTATTCCTGTCAAGGGCATGTACCTTGGTTGTGGGCACATCCCCAGTAGGGGGTGTGCAAGAGGCAGCTGATCGATGTTTCTCTCTCTTCAATATCTCTCTCCCTTCCTCTCTGTAAAAAATCAATAAAATATATATATATTAAAAAAAAAAAAAAGCTGCCGCAGTGAGCCCCTGCACCCTCATAGCACTCCAGCCCCACCAGCATCCACCAGGCTGGTGCAAGCTTATGAAACAGTCTGGAGACATGAATGCCCCCCTCCCCAAAAGAAAGCATCACAGAGGAATCTATAGTAATAAAAGTAATATGCTAATTAGACCATGAGACCTCCAGGAGACCTTCCGACATCCTTCCAGACAAAGCCAGGGGCTTGGCAGGCCTGCAACCACCCCCAAATAGCCCTCAGCCCCTCACCCAGGCGGGCCATGCCCCCTAGCGGGGACCCTCACCCCATGGGGAAGTGGCCAACCTGCAAACTGCCATCAGCCCCTTGCCCAGGCCCAGCCCACCCCCAGGGGGGCTTTCACCCCATAAGGGCATGGCCAGCCTGCAAACGCCCGGGCCCTTGCCCACCATCCCCTGCAGCTGCAGCCAGCCTGGGCGAAGCTAGCCCAGGTCCCCAGTGCCCGTGGCTGTCTGGAGGAGGGAATCCTGGGTCTTGGGTATGGGGCCAAGGCAGAGGTGGTTAGGGGCTAGCAAGCCAGCAGGGGAACAGTTAGGGGCAATCAGGTTGTCAGGCAGAAGCGGTTAGGGGCATCCAGGCAGACAGGTAGGCGAGTGGTTAGGAGCCAGTGGCCCAGATTATGAGAGGAATGTCCAACTGCCAGTTTAGCCCCGATCCCACAGGGATTCCATATTGGAGAGGGTGCTGGCCGTGCTGAGGGACAGACACCCCCCTGCCCCTGTGCACAAATTTCATGCACTGGGCCACTAGTGATAAAATAAAATTGGCACAACTGTGAGCCAGATTTATCTGTATAGATACAGCTTCTTATATAGCACTTTCATGTTTCCAGGTAAGGATGGGAATATCCCCAAATCTGACTTGAACATCCCTTTACACATGCATAAGGTTATCTGTTGAACTGGTGAAGAGGGCCTGTCACTGGTCTTCTGGAAGAGCTCACTCACACTAAGGAAATAAGAATCTGGAAGATAAAACCCGAACTGTTAGACTAAAAGCTCTGACTAAAGTCTGTTATTTAGACTTGTCTTCTGGCCCAACCCTCAAACAGACCCATCAGGCCAGTCTTATGGGGAAGAAGGGGCCTTTGATAAAAATTCTATATCATGGCCCAAGTGGCCCTGCATGTCTAAATTGAGGGCATTCTCCCCATTTCTGTAGAGGTCAGTCCGGGGATTCAGCCTGCTGAGGGTTCTGAAGAAATGTGTTGGGCTTCCCTATTTGAGAATTCCAAAATATCAGCAGCAGTAGCGGCCTGAGAGGTACAGAACCTAGATAAAGGGGAAGGAATGTCCAATGTATATGTAATGTCGAGGTGGCAGGTGGGCATTTGGGCAGGTACAGCAGGAGAGGAAGATAAGGTGGAGTCCACCTAACAATTCGCCTGGATTTGTTCTTAACCCCTGGATTTGTTTTTAAGCATAGGTGAAAACTTTATCTTCCCAAACAGCTAAAAAACAAACAAACAAACAAAAAAAAAACACTTGAAAGTTGGGATCTTGTATGGACAGATGGGGGGAAAAATAATTGTCAGATATATCTCACAGTCATTACCTTATCTGGTCTTCACAAGATCCCTTAGAGATCATTATTATCATCTCTATTTTATAGATAAGAAAATATATAAAACTGGTGGTAATTTGGAGTTCATTTTGCTTCTAAAATTCTGTCAACAAATATCAAGTGTCCCAATGCCTTTAGAAATAAAAAGATAAGTTCTGTTGGTTACCTCTTTTTTTTGTTATAAAACTTTTATTATTTTTTTAAATTTTTATTATTTTAACAATACATGTATATTCTAGGAATAAGGGAAAATACAAGTAAGCAGAATTTTAAAAATCACTCATAATCCTATCACTTAGTGATCTTTTTTTGTCTTTCATCCCTCACATGTTTTTCTGTGCATAGATGTTTATACAAATGTATTCTTCCCTTTTAAAAATATGATATTCACATATTCCTTGCTAACATTTTTTCATTTTATATTTTGTCAGAAACCCCCTTTTGTATAAATGAGTCAAGCTCTGTCTCCTATTAAAATGCAGAAACTTGAAGATTGGTTCAAACTATGATAAACAATGAGATGCAGAAACAAGAGATTCATCTAAAACCACTAATAGCAACAAATTAAAAGTAGAAAAATGGACAAGGTTTATCAGGAAAATGTAAATCACAAGAAAGCTATATGGCAATGTTAATATCAGAAAAAATAAAAATCAAGGTAAGCTACATTAAATAAGGGTAAGGATGGTTTCGATTAGCCTTCCAACGCATCACTATAAGTTTGTTTCTTACTCTCCTTATCTCATCTAATTCATTCACTTCTCTAAACATATCATCCTTGCTTAAATGCCTGTTGTGTATATCTTCTTTAAATTCCTGGAGAGACTGAATCAGCCTTTCTCTAAAAGTTCCTTCTGTTTTTTCCTCCACCTCTGGCTCCTCCTCCTCCTCCTCCTCTGGCTTTTCCTCAGGCTTTGGCTCTTCCTCAAGATTTGGCTCACTCTCATTTTCTGGTTTTCCTTCCATTTTTTGACAGGGTTTCATCTTGTGTCTGTCCTCTTCCTTCCTTTCCTTTTTCTCTTCGCTTTTTTCTGCTTATTCCTCTTTGAATATAATTACTCCTAGGAAGCAAGAAGGAGAGATGGTAAGTCAAAGGCTTGGTGACTGGACCCGTGCTCTGGACAGAGGTCTCAGCACTTGCTTTCAGTTTGTTTCTGAGCCATCATCAAATACCTTCCACCCGAGACTCATTCAGCGATCACGGCTTCCCTAAGACGGCCCCTCTCACCTCCTTTTCCCATTGCTTCTCCTCCCTCTCATTCCTCCTTCCAGCCCTCCTCTACCATCCCCCTCCTCCTCCTCCCCGCTCCCCGCGCAAGGCATAACACAAGACACTCCCAGCACAGAGGAGGCTGAGAGAAGCGGGGGGATGGGTGGGGGAGGTGAGGATCAGCGGGCCCACAACTCAGTCCCCCCCCCCTCCCCCCCCCGCCCAGCTCCCCGCAGGCGCCTTTATACTCTCCTCACCTACCTGTACGGATTCAGTCAGCTTCTTCTTAGTATACTCTAGTTGGGTTAGAGCACTGAACAACAGACTTGCAGATCTGCGGACAAACGGGAAACGCGTGGGGGAGGGAGTGGGAGAGGGAGGAGGGAAAAAGGAGAAAGGAGGGAGTGGAGAAGTGGAGGTGGAGCGAGCGCTTGGTGACCAGTTCCACGTACTTTTTTCCTCATTGAGGTTCTCAGTAATGGAAAGTTTCTCACCTCTGTTTCCCCCCCCTTCCCCCCCCCCCCCGTTATCCCCTTCTTCACATGCAAGTTAGCTCGAATTTCCCATCAGACAGGGAGATTATTTCTGAATATCTTTAAGATTGAGGTGGGGGTTGGGGGAAGGGTAGGTGCTGAGAAAGTAGTCTGAGATGGCAGAGGTTTATTATTTTTAAAGTATCACAGGTTTCCCTGTCCTTCTCTCGAGACCCGTAGTCACTCCCTTTCCAAGGGTTATAATTTTCTGCAGACGCAGAGGTGGGAGTGAAGAGTGGACTTAATCAGGTCTGTGCCCTAGGCCCCCCATCCTAGAAATCCCCAAGCAGTATCTATTTTGACACCAACCTTCGAAATTCCGGCCAACTGACTCTCCTTCTCCGTCTCAGGACCCGCTGTCGCGCAGCAGAAGGAAGCTGGTACCCAGATGGGAACAAGGACCAGACTAGCAGGACTTCTGCACACGTCGACTCCTGGTCACGTGATACCTACGTCACCAGTGAGCTCGAGTCCCTAATTTCCACTCCCACCAAAAGCGCGGCATAAGTAAGCCTTCCCTCTGCCCCCTCCCCCTTCATACATTTGGCCCTGTCAGTCTTTTCCGTTGTTGAGAATCCCAGGGGAAATTTTGTATTTGCCTTTCTCTGATTACTAGGGGGGCAGGGGGCGGAGGGCGGCTGCATCTCTTTCCAGAGCTACTAAACTTCTCTACTTCTTTCCAGAATTCTCTTCCTGCCTTCTGCTCCCAATATTAAGAACTCCTACAGCCATTGCCCCTCCTGCAGCCTCCATTTCATCTGCAACCTGGTCTTTGGGTTGGTTTGCTAGCCTGTTGAAAAAATAAAAGTCTGGGACAGGAATGCGATTTTTTAATATAGTTTTTACTTTATTCTTAATGTTTATTTTCTTTTTTAGTAAAATATTTATAGTCAGAAAAGACAAAGACAAAATTACTTTAGTTAAATGAATTAATGGGCACAGGTTGGCAGCTACAAAATAGGGGATGTAAAGTACAGCATAGTGAATATAGTCAATAATATGGTAATAACTATGTGTGGTGCCAGGTGGGTATTAGACTTATTGGGGGGCTCACTTTTTAAAAAATATTTTTATTGATTCCAGGGAAGAAGGGAGACATAGGGAGAAATAGAATCATCAGTGATGAAAGAGAATCATTGATCAGCTGCCTCCTGCATGCCCCACACTGGGGATCGAGCCCACAACCCAGGCATGTGCCCTGACTGGGCATGAAACCATGACCTCCTGGTTCAAAGACGCTCAACCACTGAGCCACGCCAGCCCGGGAGGAGAGGGGGGTCACTTTTTAAATTATGTAAATGTGTAACCACTGTGATGTACACCTGAAACTAATATAATATTGAATCACAACTGTAATTTAAAAAATGAAAAATGTAAAAAAAGAAGATGCTAGGGTCATCTCAGAATAGAACCTCAACTCACCCAGGCTACACTTTCAGAATCAGTTCCTCCAGAGCAACAGCAACAAAGAAGGATATTCCTACTTATTTGGAAAGAGTCACAAATTGTGGAGGCTTAGAGCATTGGTGTTGGTGTTAGCAGGAATCAAGACACTTGGAGAAAAGCTCTTAAGCACACTCAGGAACAAATCAATCTATGACATTCAAGGGAGAGAATTCACACTTGTAAACTTTCTTAAGAGACACATTCTCTTAAGCTCTAACTTCTGGAATTCAGTATTTTTGTCATACTTTCTAAGTATGGAAGTAGTGACAGCAGACTTATGTCCCTGTATCACCTAATCAGATCATTTAGCCTCTTTGGGGATTGGATATTTTTTTATTGGTAGAAATCAATGAAACTAATGAACATGTTCAAACATTTTTTTAAAAAAATGAGGGAATGTCTATACAGTCCTGAGAATAGTGCTGGCATATGGTAAATGCTTTTTAAAAAATACAAGCTATTATTATAATTATATTAGGATTTAATTTGGGGAAAAGGATTTAAAATGAAAAAAAAAAAAGTAATGTTTTAACTCCAGAGCCCTGGTGGTGATATTTGCCTAGAAGCTGTGCTGCCTACAGAATCATCAATTGTTTCCTCATCTATAAAAGGTAATAATAACACACACCGCATATAATTGACTATTGGGAATTCCAAATGATAACATTTGGGGAGAAGCACTTCACTTATATAAAGTCTTCAATAGATATTGGTTATCTTTCAACCTCAACTCAGTCTTTGTTAAAAGTCACAAATTTGCCGAAACCGGTTTGGCTCAGTGGATAGAGCGTCGGCCTGCGGACTGAAGGGTCCCAGGTTCGATTCTGGTCAGGGGCATGTACATTGGTTGCGGGCACATCCCCAGTTGGGGGTGTGCAAGAGGCAGCTGGTCGATGTTTCTAGCTCTCTATCCCTCTCCCTTCCTCTCTGTAAAAAATCAATAAAATATATGTTTTTTTAAAAGTCACAAATTTGCCAGTAAAAATTGCAAAATTTTCAGAAGTAACATTTGAAAAATAACAAGGAGACATATACATTATTATTGTTTTGTATAAGTTTTGCTGCCCCTTTGTGAGGCAGAATAAAGACCTCACTGGGTTATGTAGGGAGGGGTGGGGGACAAAAACACAACCTCACTATATCTCATTTTATTTCCTTTTTTAAAAATAAATCTTTATTGTTCAGATTATTACAGTTGTTCCTCTTTGTTTCTCCCATAGCTCCCTTCCACCTGGTTCCCACCCCACCCTCTGCCCTTACCCCTCCTCACTGTCCTCATCCATAGGTGTACGATTTTTGTCCAGGCTATTCACACAACCCTGACACCCCCTCCCCACCTCGAGAATTGTCAGTCTGCTCCCTCTCAGTGCCCCTGATTCTATTATAGTCACAGTTTATGCTGTTCCTCAGATTTTTTATTCACTTGATTTTTAGATTCACTTGTTGATAGATATGTATTTGTTGTTCATAGTTTTTATCTTTACCTTTTTTTTCTTCTTCTGAGGAGGAAGCTGGTCTTTCAAGGCATGTCAGGCCATAAAAACTGTGAACAATGCACTGCCCTGTGGGGAGGAAGGGTCGTTATTGCTGGCCCCAGGACAGATCATTGGATATGGCCTGGGCATCCCCAACACCTGGGAGCCTTCCAGTAAGCCCATGAAAGGGGGCAGAACCATATCTGAAAGACAAAGACCCCAGAAGTTTATAAAATGTGAAACCCTATGCGTGTTTCTTCACTCTGATTTGGAAATTATTATCGGAGTCCATTAGTGTTAATAAAAGGGGTCTCTTGTTTTCTCTAGGAAGTGTGTTTGGTATTTCTTTGGTCTTTTGCAACATTTTCTTCTTAAAGAATACCTTTCAGCATTTCATATAATACAGGTTTGGTGGTGATGAACTCCTTTAGCTTTTTCTTATCTGTGAAGCTCTTTATCTGACCTTCAAGTCTGAATGATAGCTTTGCTCTGTAGAGTAATCTTGGTTGTAGGTTCTTGCTATTCATCACTTTGAATATTTCTTGCCACTCCCTTCTGGCCTGCACAATTTCTGTTGAGAAATCAGCTGACAGTAGTATGGGTACTCCCTTGTTGGTAACTAACTGTTTTCTCTTGCTGCTTTTACTATTCTCTCTTTGTCTTTTGCTCTTGGCATTTTAATTATGGTGTGTCTTGGTGTGGTCCTCTTTGGATTCCTTTTGTTTGTGGTTCTGTGTGCCTCCTGGACTTGTAAGTCTATTTCTTTCACTGGGTGGGGAAAGTTTTCAGTCATTATTTCTTCAAATAGGTTTTCAATATCTTGCTCTCTCTCTTCTTCTGGCACCCCATAATTTGGATGTTGGTACGTTTGAAGTTGTCCCAGAGTCTCCTTACACTATCTTCATATTTTTGGATTCTTTTTTCTTTTCTGGTTGGGTGTTTTGTTTTGTTTTTGCTTCCTCAAATTTCAAATCTTTGGCTTGATTCTTGCAATCCTCTAGTCTGCTGTTGGATCTCTGTGTATTATTCTTTATTTCAGACAGTGTATTTTTTTTTTTTTTTTTTTGGCATTCTCATTAAGGTCCTTGAAGGTCTCACTAACCTCCTCCGAGGTCTCATCAAGTTTCTTGGTGGTTTTTAGAAGATTCTTGAGTAACCTTATAAATATGGTTTTGAAGTCTATGTCCAGTAGTTTGCTTTCCTCCAATTCTTTCATTTGTGACATGTTTCTTTCTCCACATTTTGCTGCTTTCTTGTGTTGATAGAATGGAAGAACTGCTGTAATGGAGAAACGTTTATGGGGCAGGACTTGCTTCAGTG